TAGGATTGGAAAGCCAGCAAAACATTTAAAAAGATCATTTATGGAATGCAGTGGGTAGTGAGATACAAGGAAACTTTTACATTGTATTCAATATTTTTATACATTATTTAAATGTTTTATAACAAGAATATTTAGAAGTATTTTAAAATGAGGCATTTTTAATGGAAAGAAATTTGCATGAACTTCTTACAACATGTTTTGGTTAAAAATAAAAAAGTCTCTACTGCACAAAGTTTAAAAGCCCTGCCCTACAGTGACACCAAATGGTGGCAGATCAAAATACAGTACACAAACAAAACATTTGTTCAATTTCCTATAAACACTACAATTCCTTTGAAGAATTGGAAGCCTAACAAAACTAAATAATGTGGAGACAAATACTCAAAAGCTTAGAATTTTTAATCAAAGAAATTCTAGTGTACGAAGCTTCAAATGCAACTTTTAGGTCTCTATCTAAGCTTCAGTTAAATCTTGTGATCCCACCGAGTATTTACATATCTTACTTCTCACACAGTTAACCGTACCACTGTGAGCACAGTGATTTTACCTAATGGCTTATTGATCAAAAGATGACTGCAAATATAAAAAAATACAGTCATACAACTAAAATCAGGTTCTTTCAACAGAAACCAGCCTTTGATGAGTAGGCAGTATTTGAGGGAAATACAAGGAGATACTAAGGCTAAAGAGGAAAAGTAAGGAATCCAAGAAAAAAGACAGCTAACTGATCCAATGAGTGAGAGTTTCTAAGAAGCACACTTTCCTTTTATAATATTATTGTTAGAAAATTAAGCTGAATAAAGCATGAAACTAAGGCACTCCAAATATGAAACAATTTCTCAACAAAAAGTTTTATCCTGGACTGTCTAGGGAAAAGAATGTTTCAAATTTAAGCACACTGATTAGTATTCAATGTCTTCTGCCCAAAACCTAAAAAGTGAAACTAGCTCAGTCCTGACTGACTCTTTGCAACCCATGGACTATACACAGTCCATGGAATTCTCTAGGCCAGAATACTGGAGTGGGTAGCCTTTCCCTTCTCCAGAAGATCTTCCCAAACCAGGGATTGAACCCAGGTCTCCCACATTGCAGGTGGATTCCTTACCAACTGAGCTATCAGGGGAGCCCAAAACCTAAACCAATAAATAAAACCAGCTGTAAACTGTCTCATTCATTTCACATTACACAGAATGATATAAAGATGGACCACCTCTCAGAACACATCTCTAAAATAACAAAATATCACTTGACTAGCACACTTAGTCTCTCAGAATTAAATGACAGCTTGTTCAGACTATTTGATATGTTATTTTTTCCTTATGTCAAAATTTCCTGGAAAACATAGCTATCAGCCACAAAACAAGTCAATAATATCAATAAACTCCTAGGTCCTGAATTCAGAGCACTGTGTTATCAGTTCTAAAGGTACCAGCTATCACCATGTCAACACCACTACTAGACTAACAAGGCGTCAACAGGGGCACCCTGGAACTCCTGAGAACTGTCGGGCTCAAACTGGCCAAGGCTCAAGTTAGCAGGGCTGCAAGAATCAGTTCAGGGACGCACCTTAAGATTCTGAATTACCAGTAATTAACATAATTAAGATGAGCAATTAAATGTTTAGTACCATAAAAGTACCAAGATACAGCTCCCCTGCATTAAGACTATTTTTTAAAGAACAGAAATAAGATCAGGATTAAAGAACTTTGCTTCAATTTCAAGGGAGAAATAAATAAAAGTGGATATGGAAACTCCGTATTACAGGAAACGTGGAGAGAATATAGACATAGCAAACGGTTTAGTTGTTTAAAGAAAACATAAGGGACATACAATTTAATGGATATTCACACATTTCTGAATAGTATATCTGAATACCATACTCTATAGACCATAGAACCTGGGATACTTGTATATAAGTAATAAACGACAAAAGTAGAACATACTTCTAATTTACATGTTGTGTTTTATATATTCCATTTGGCATTTTGGGACACACCACGTAACATGTAGGACCTCAGTTACCTGACAAGGGATCAAACTCACGGCCCCTGCACTGGAAGGTTGGGGTCTTAATCACTGGACAGCCAAGGAAGTCTCTATTCTACTTGGCCTTTAATTGACATTGATTACCAGCAACTTGGACGTATTACTTTCACAAACTGCCTTTCTATGAAACAGAAATAATGGAGACAAACACTGATGTCCAGGTAAGCTGGATTTTGTTTGTTTGTCGTTTTATGTAATTCTTGTGTGGAATTAAAGAGGATTATATAAGGCAAACAACTTTAGTGACTTTATCCACTGTTATCAGATTTGAATGTTTATTTAAATAGAAAACATCTGTAATTCACATGAATCAAATTAATGAATTTACATAATTGGATAAAAGAAAAATGTAAACTGGCAACGAAAATAACTGCAGGGTTTTAACTGATTTCTATAAAAATGAAAACAATGCTAGAAATGACAGTATCAGTGCAGAACCTGAAGATAAAACAGTTAACACCAGTCTATCTATGGCGAAAACAAGTAAAAAGGCAAGTTTCGATCCTATTTGGGGTGGAACGACCACCTCTCTTTCTTGTTTGTGACTGTGAAGATTTTTCAGCTAGAAATGATTAGCACTTTAAATATAGGTTTAGTCAATAAGTAAATGTTTTTCTACAAGAGCAAAGTCTTGTAGGAATCTGCAGTTTAGCTTAACTCTAGTTAGCAGCCCATCTTCAATATATACACAAGTATATTAAACTTATAACTTTAAAAATGAAACAGCATTATGAGAATCTTTAAAAAATATACATGGTAATTATAATCAATTTCTTAAAACCAACAAATTATGGTATCATTTATACAATGTTGATAAACTGAAAACACATCACTCTTTAATGAATGAGTGAACTCACTGAGTTTTTAAATTAGAAAGAACAGAAAACTTCACACACGTGGTTCATCATTTTGGGGGTAACTCTCAACTGTTTAAAACTTTAGGCACGTTTTCCTGTCTTTGGGCGATGCATGGGGGTTTGAGAAATAGTGAGAGCCAGATTGAAAATGGTGAAAAACTGGAATGGAAAAAAAGATGAAGTGAAGAATATTACTATTTGCTACCCCCTACCCGCAAAAAAGAGTATATAAAAACGTCACATTTTTCTTCAATTATCTTTCTCCTTTCTTCAGCAAAACAAATATATTTTAAGATGTTAGTGTAACACAAACCAGAACTTGAAACAATATTTTTAGAAATGTTCATAATCAACAGATAATAGCAGATGGTTTTCAACAGTACCACTCTAGCACTCTTTATATCCCATTTGTAGTCAGGTATGATCAGCATGGAATGTGTAGAGTCAAGGTCAAGTTTGCATTGATATGTCCTGAAACTATTTCTGTCTTAAAATCAAAATTATCATGTCTAAAGCCCTGGTATCTGGGAATATACTTATTTTAACTTTCTGACCCCTCTGAATACAATACTTGTAAGTCATGCCTCTTTGATGTGAACCCTCGTTTCTCAAGGGCAGGCATAACCTGACTATTTAAATAAACCTAAAACATCTGCAAGTTAGAGTTCATTCTTCTGTGACAATCACCAGGAAAAACATGAGAGTAGTTTTAAATCTCTGTGTTGATATGCAACAAAGAGTTTCTTGGTAAGTAGATATTTTCATATAAGTTTGCATTTCATATTTAACATGGATAGGAATATTTCAAAATTGTAATTTTACATCCTGTGATTTTCATTCAAGTCAAAAAGGATGAACAAACATCAAAAATCTAAGCAGCTTGTTGTGGTTAAAAATGTAACACAAATTCTCCCTTGTCTCACATGGAAGATATTGTATCACACAGGGAACAAGAGAAAGACTGATCAGGTGACAGAAAATAAACAAGAATTAGAAAAAAAGAGAGAGAGAGAGAGAGAGAGAGAGAGAGAGAGACAAGAGGATAAAAGAGCTCTCTGGAGAGACTCTAGTAAAAAAAAAATAGCATTTTTCTAAAAATAATGTTTAAAAGTTTTATAATAAAAATTGTAGGGCTATGAACAGGAAAAACCTGTCTTTTTTTTCTTTCTAATCTGACTCTGTGAACTTTGGGGGCTGGGGAGTCATTGCAGGGAGGGCTGAGTAGACTGGATTTATGAAGAGACAGGAAGAAGTTTAAGTGTCAGTAACACGCCAAATAACAGTCTGCAAACACAGTCCTTCAGTCATCCAACCTGAGCCTTCCGAATTACATAAATATAACACTATCACGTCCCTGGAGATTGGTAATAATATAGCTGAAGACTCAGGGGAAAAAAATCTTATATAATTAAAAAAAATGAAATAGTACTTTAAACATCATGATGGCTGAAGTACCCACCGTCAACATGATAATTTAATGGTAGAAGGTAAGAGCAGGAGAAAAGAAAACTTGATAAAAACCTTAAATTCAAGTTGCAATAGAGCTAACATGTAACATTGGAAAGTCTTTTTTCATCTCTTTAGATTCCAACTTCTATAAAATAGGAGGCTGGAAAAAGATGATTAGCAAGGAGTCTTGAAGATTTTCTAAAACACATTAATTTTTTCATCCTCATTTCCAAAGAGAAACTATATTTCTAATTTTGGAGTCTAAAACATGAGATGAACTGAAGTGAATGATTAGAATGAGAAAGTGAAGCTACTCTTGCAATATGTTGGAATATACAGCTCTAGAATAAAGCACAAATACACTCCAGTCATAGGAGTGCAGGTTTCATTTTACATTTTCATATTAAATAGAAAAGATAAAAAAATCACATTTATGCTGTTGAAAAAACTCCTTGGACTTCATTTATGGCTAGAATTTCAACATATATTTTAAAATCAACGTAATTTCCCACAAATATCCTCAGGTTAAGAAAAAACGCAAGGTGGACATTAAATGTTTGTGGACAGTAGTGAGGTGAAGAGCCTTACATTCTCTTCTCCGCTCACAGCACAGAGGTCCCCTCCAAAGAGGGCTGACAGGGTACTCACCACAACAGCAAACTGCTCGGGGTCACTTAAGTTGCTATATTCACTCTGGTACTGAGACAGTGAATTCAACTGTTCTTGATCGGGAAGATGTTTTATTAAGTTCTAAAATTAAAACCAAAGGGAAATACCTTCATTAATGTGCTTCTTAAATTCTAGGAAAATTTATTAATAAACTGTGAGAAGGAAATCATTGACCAAGTTAATCTTCAGTTTTATTTCTAGTTAACTTCCCAAATACTAAGCCTTAAGCTTCAGTCTCTGTATGTTGAAAGCAACTAATTTTCCTCTTTTCTATCCAGGGTTATTACACATTCAAATCAAACACTACTCAATGTTTATTTGATTAGCTATATAATTGAGAAAGGAGAATTCAACCTATACCAAAGGAACAGCTTTCTCACCTGGATAAATGTGATCAATTACATTTCAGCTATAGGGAATTAAATGTCAGAAATTTTCAGGCAAAGCCAAACATATTTTAGCACTTGACTCAGGTGTATAAAAGAGATCATATTGCTTCTAACAGGCAAGAGAAAGAATAGAAAAGAAATCAAGGGAATTTTAATGACAGCACGTGCAAGATTTAACCAATATGATTACAGTTTTAATAATAAAAATGAAGATATCTCTAAAACAAAACAAGGTAACTTTTCTGATGTGAAAGAAAACTTGAAAAGGCAATGAAGACACAGGATGATGAACCTTGCAGATAAAAGAATACAGAAAGAACTTAAGTTCCATGCCTGTAATGGCCCTTTGCCTCAATCATCTTCAGCTTAGAAAGGGAATACATATAATTATGCTTCCTTATTAGAACTTAAATGATTAAATCATCCCTTTGACAAACTCTATATAGATCCTCTGTATCAAAATATGATTGACAATAATAGTATTATAGCCAATTAGTATACTGACATTAAAATTAAGAAAAAAAGAGTGGTTGGTGCTCACAATTGCAAATTACAGCATAAGTAAACTCTGCACAAGCCCAAAGTCAAATTCAAATTATAACTAAACCTATATCATGCTAAATATATTTAAGGAAAAACAATCCCCAATGGTGTTATATTAGTTAAAAAATAATGTTACAGAATGTTATATATCAAAGAGTTAGATCAAAGAACAAGTTTTTCACTCACTGTGTACCTTTGGACAAAGGTACACACTGATTGGCCAAAAACAAACAAAAAAGTGGCAATTTAAGATCATCTAAAAAAATATTCAACATTAATACTACCAAACTGAATAAAAACAATAAAAGAATATAATTTTCCCTTATAAATAGAAATTTCTCTCAGTAAAACTGCCTAAGACCAGAAGACTCGGTTATTAATAAAAGACTCGGTTTCTTTTAATCATTCTAGTTGACAGCTGACCTATTTATTACACTCAATTTCTTCAGCATCTTTTAGATAACCATAAAATCACCTTGAATATTTTTGGTTAATATATACTTACATTTTAATCTTTCATCACAAATTCATTACTTTTTCACTTCATTATTTTTATTTTCTAAAGTAATAAAACTATTAGACTTGTAAAATTACAGGCCCAACTGTCCTTTACGTGCCCCTTTTCATATTTCCCATCCCAAGTTCCTTTCAAAATAAAGTCTTCACAGCGGCCCCGCACAGCTTTTCTCTCACAGGATCCCTCTGCCTATATACATGCCATATTCACACTGGAAGGACTGATGCTGAAGCTGAGACTCCAATAGTTTGGCCACCTGATGTGAAGAGCTGATGCATTTGAAAAGACCCTGTTGCTGGGAAAGGCTGAAGGCAGGAGGAGAAGGGGACGGCAGAGGATGAGATGTTTGGATGGCATCACTGCCTCCATGGACATGAGTCTGAGTAAACTCCGGGAGTTGGTGATGGACAGGGAGGCCTGGCGTGCTGTGATTCATGGGGTCGCAAAGAGTCGGACACGACTGAGCGACTGAACTAATTCAACCTTTAAGGACCTTTACACACACATGCAGGCTCCCCTGGTGGCTCAGAGAGTAAAGAATCTGCCTGCACTGCGGGAGACCTGAGTCCAACCCCTGGGTAGGGAAAACCCCCTGGAGAAGGGCACGGCAACCTACTCCAGTATTGTTGCCCGGAGAATCCCATGAACAGAGGAGCCGGGCGGGCTACAGTCCATGGGGTCTCAGTTTGACGTGACTGAGAAGCTGACACACACAGTCGCACACCTCACACACTATCTCGGTCTAACACTCGCTATACAGCCAGGTTTACCTTGTATTACAATCATACATATAAAATTATAATTATTATATATATGTATATATATAAATGCCATCTCCCTTGCCACACTATAAACTCCACAAAGCTAAAGTCCGTGTCTGATCAAGCCTATTTCTGAGTGAGCCTAACACCATGCCTTCATATGGTAGGCACTATAAAATATGTGCTAAATTAATTAATGATTATTACAAAGTACTGCTTTCTTTATGCTCTGTTCAAAACAGGCAAGTTCTTCACTTTTTCAATTAGAAAATATTTTTAAAATTAAAAATAAGACTTCAAACAGCATGAAATTCTTATTCTTTAATGAATATATAAAGATTTTGCATATGTCCAAAGTAAATTTTTAGATTTTCAATTCATAAGATTGGTTTTATAATTAGTAAGTGTGGTAAGCATAATGATGACCCAACCCCACTAAGAGATCCACATTTAATACCCAGAACTTATTAAATATTAACTTACACAACAAAGGGAACCAGGGTTTAAAACAGAATTAAGTTGCTATCAGCTGACCCTAAACTAGAGACATTATCCTGGATTACCGGGATGTGCCCAATGGACCCACAAAGGCCGTAAAACGTGGGAGAGGCAGAGCACATCAGTAAGAGGGAGATGTGAACAGAGGACACCCCAGAACGCCTCTGTGAGCAGAGGAACAGAGCTGCAAAGTCACTGGCTGAGAAGATGGAGGGGTGTGTCCACCAGCCCAGGAACGCGGGCAGCCACGAGCGGCTGGGAAACAAAGCAAGCCTGAAGCCTCCAGAGAGGAGCCAAGCAGGCTACACCTGGACTCGGGCACAGTAAGACCGCACCAGGCTTGTTCTACAAGACCGCAACGTCTGTTTCATAGTCAGCCACTAAATGTGTGGTAAATTGTTAAAGCAGGAATAGAGAAGTCATATCTTAATAAATTATGTGGAACTGAATGTTCTTTGGACATGAATTTTAACACCCAAACTTTTTTCCACTCAAACAACAAAAGACATGATCATGCAAAATATTCATATAATCAGGTTAAAAGCTACTGTGTAAATATAAATATTTATATATTTATAATATTTACAAATGTGCTATAAAAACTACTATGCATTAAGTAGAAGGATTTTAGTGAAAGAACTTGGAAATCTACTCCCAGGAACAAAGCACATTCAAGATCAAAAGGAATACATACAAAAACTAAGAGAAACTGCTGGAGGAAAAACATGCTTGAAGAAAGGCTGCTACATCAGGCACTTCAAGAGTCTGAGACTTAGCACAAGTCACTGATGGGATTATATATTAACACCACATTTAGAAGACAGGACAGAAAAAACCAAGAACTTCCAAGGATACCATTTATTGATGGGTTAAAACATTTAGAATATTTTTAATCAGTTGATAACACTAACAAATAATATTTGGTTTCTTTTTATTGCTAAAAAAATCATTTTCTAAGTATGTTGTAAGAATGAAGGTAACAAACTAAAGATAATATTCTCTCAAATTTGTGGTTTGCTTCTCCAACTTTAAATTCTGTCAAGACCTGTATTAATGGTAGCTTACACAGAATTCAGGAAGCCATTCTGCCAACAGGGTACAAACATTTGCAAAATAATCCTATGAGTAGAAACTATTTTAAAAATCTTCCAGCATTCTGAATGACTCAGAATACTATGCAAAAAATGTCTAGTATTCACAGAAACACAAATGACTCAAGTAAGGGTTGTTAGTAATGGTAACTCTAAATAAAGAGAAAACTCCCTCAATCTTCTTTACCAAACAAAAACACAACTTTAAAAGACATACAAGCCCAAGAAAATCATATTCTATAAGGATCATAAAAAATATATTAAAATTAGCATATTATTAGACTTAACTGCAAAAAAAAATTAACATACATGTAAAAGGAAACAATCTGCCTTTCAGAAACAGTCATTTAAACTAATTGAAATGTAATCATTTGATAGCATTATATTCAGTTTGCAAATAGCCAGGACATGGAAGCAACCTAGATACCCATCAGCAGACGAATGGATAAGGAAGCTGTGGTACATATGCACCATGGAATATTACTCAGCCATTAAAAAGAATTCATTTGAATCAGTTCTAATGAGATGGGTGAAACTGGAGCCCATTATACAGAGTGAAGTAAGCCAGAAAGATAAAGACCATTACAGTATACTAACACATATATATGGAATTTAGAAAGATGGTAACGATAACCCTATATGCAAAACAGAAAAAGAGACACAGATGTATAGAACAGACTTTTGGACTCTGTGGGAGAAGGCGAGGGTGGGATGTTTCAAGAGAACAGCATCGAAACATGTATATTATCTAGGGTGAAACAGATCACCAGCCCAGGTTGGATGCATGAGACAAGTGCTCGGGCCTGGTGCACTGGGAAGACCCAGAGGAATCGGGTGGAGAGGGAGGTGGGAGGGGGGATCAGGATGGGGAACACACGTAAATCCATGGCTGATTCATGTCAATGTATGGCAAAAACCACTACAATATTGTAAAGTAATTAGCCTCCAACTAATAAAAACAAATGAAAATATAAAATAAAAAAAGAGAGAACATGCGAAGCTCTATCTCCTGGCAACACAGAAGTTATGCTAAAAGTAATTATGCAGCGAAGATTTTCCAGTTGAATGATTTGGTTTAATAATTTTGCTTCACTTACAGATTTCTGCTTAATGAGAAGCCTGCAATGAAATATAGGAATTTAAGCTCTCTGTTTGTTTACCTGAATCATAGACTCTGCCAACTGTGCTTCATCCACTTCCAATATCATCATTTTGATTTCCTCGTATGGCACCCGGAAAGAACTCAGGAAGATTGCTAAGAGCAGGGAAAAAAAAGAGCCATAGTAAAGAAGGTAAGAATCTAATATTTTTTAAATTTATTTATTTTTAATTGAAGGATAACTGCTTTACAGTATTGTAAGAAAAGAATCTGAGATGTACTTCTACATATAAAATAAAAAATGATTTATAAAAAGAAATTTTAAATATTCAATATAATGACTGTAGAGGAATCTTTCAGTAACACATTTTTTTACTCTTCCCCAGTTTTAGAACTACATTTAAACAACAGTTCTATATTATTATGTTGGTTTTGAGGATGATTTTTAATGCTTAGTTATTAGCCTAATATAGGAATGGTACCAATTTTGATGTGACTTTTTTAAAAACTGAAATGACTTAGTACACTATAGAGGTATCATATTGTAATGGAAAGAACCATAAAACCCCAATATGTACACATAATATTTATCTAGACGTGTGTGTTATTAGTCTACATATCTTCCGCCCTTACTAAATAGTTTTAAAAAACTTTTTTCAGAAAACTGCTTAACATATGACCCAGCAATCCGACTACTGAGCATACACCCTCAGGAAACCATAATGGAAAAAGACACATGTACCCCAATGTTCACCACAGAACTATTCACAATAGGCAGGACATGGAAGCAACTTACATGTCCATTGACAGATGAATGTATAAAGAAGTTGTGATACATATGCACAATAGAATATTTCTCAGCTATAAAAAGAAATGCAATTGAGTCAGTTCTAATAAGGTGGCTGAACCTACAGCCTATTATACAGAGTGAAGTAAGTCAGGAGGAGAATGACAAATATCATACATTAATGCATACCTATGGACTCTAGAAAGCTGGTACTGATGATCCTATTTTCAGGGAAACAAAGGAGATGCAGACATAAAGGTCAGACTTCTGGACACAGTGGGGAAGGGAGAGGGTAAGACGATTTGAGAGAGTAACACTGAAACACACATTTTCAGATATAATAAATAGCTAGTGGGAATCTGCTGTATTACTCAGGGAGCCCAACGTCAGTGCTCCGTGAGCACCTAGAGGGGTGGGGAGGGAGGGAGGCAGACGGAGGTTCAGGAGGGAGGGGACACATGTACACCTACGGCTGATTCATGCTGACGGGTGGCGGAAACAATCACGATATTGTAAAGCAATCATCCTCCAATTAAAAACAAAATTATATTAAAACAAAAAACCTGCTAAGCAGCGCACAACACTTTTACAAGTCATAAGAGCACCCTAATGTTCAGACAATATGCCAGAGAAATACATTCTGCATATAACTAAAGTTTAAATATGCAATCAGTGAGTCAGTCAGTTCAGTCACTCAGTCGTGTCCGACTCTTTGTGACCCCATGAATTGCAGCACTCCAGGCCTCCCTGTCCATCACAAACTCCCGGAGTTTACTCAAACTCATGTGCATCGACTCCGTGATGCCATCCAACCATCTCATCCTCTGTCGTCCCCTTCTCCTCCTGCCC